TCCGTGGGTGATTTTCTTTTCTTCATATTGTATGTTGTTTCTAAATGAATTAGCTTCTAAGCTAATCTGTCACAGATTTAATTATGGTACACAATCATGAGGGAGTTGCTTTTTCCTGATACCAAGCAAGGAACTTTATTGAATAAGGAAAACAGTTGTGTACTTAATTCTAGTTTGGTCTTCCACGTTCTCTGTTTCAGTCTGTAGCTTGCTCCAGTATTTTCCTGCTAGACAGATAAAGGAAAAGATATGTGGATAAAGAAGTTTTCTGCGTCAGCCGTGACCATAAGAGTTCTGCATTACCCTGAAAGTGGCAGAAGTGGTGTGTGTATGTATATATATATATATATATATATATGTATATATATATATATATATATACACACATATATATACATATTTTACCTTGTCTTCCTGTAATTCTTTCTTCCTAAAGTCTTAATATTTGGAGATGAGCCTCTTGGTGTTGATACTCCTGCTCTGCTCACAGATGTATCGTTGAGAGAGATTTCATCTGTGCCCAGCAGCACTTTCTTGCTGCTATTTTTTCTAACCCCTCTTTTCTCTGCTTGATTCTAGTGCTGTTTTGTTATATTTTCTGTGATGAAAGGTTTGGGATTATTCCTTCCCTCACTTTGCTAACAGTATACCGACAGCCACGCTTCTTCCATCTGTAGCTTGCTCTATAACATCCTTAAGGTAGGGATGATTTTGGGGTAATAGTAAATTTTAGAGTATTCTTCTCACTCTAGGCTTGGGGTTTGCCAGACCTTTGCACAGATGTTATGTGGATAATAATCTGTATGAGCATTAGGAATAGGTGAGAGAAGATTGGTGAAAGTAGTGTTGCTTTTTCCCCCATCCTGTGGAAGCTGCTTTGTCTAGTTACAGGCAAGTGTTTTTTCTACAAACACAAAATGGTCCCTTCCCCACAAGAAAAGCTGAGTTGTGTTACTGATCTCTGAGGTGGTTGGCTATATCTGACTGCCTTGCAGGGAAGATGCTAAAGAGTTTAAAGCCAGGAATCTGTACTAGTTTTGCTTCTGGTAAACGTGATGGCAAGTTTATGTACCTGAATGGCCAGGTGCAGGATTTTCAAGGATGTTAAAGCATGTGCTATTCCTTCCTCCTCCTCTTTTTCTCTTCTTGCTCATTTTTTACCCATCTTAAAAAAAAACACAAAGTAGCATAAGTGGTCTATGCCATGGAAATATGTTTGTCACACTACATCACTTTGAACTGCATAACATCAAAGAAAATCAGTGCTTTGATAACTTGATTTGAAAGAATTGTAGAAATAGCCATCATTATGAATCACAACAGATAGGGATGGAAAGGATGGTGATTTTCCAACAGCAGTGCTTCTAAGTTAAGGGAAAATGTAGGCACCTGTGCCACATTCCCATCTAAAATACCCGTACTTTACAATTGTTATGCAGCTTTGCAGAATATGGTTTACTCGAGGATATGAAGCACCATCCTTCATACAGAGGGACATACTCTGTGTAAAAATGCATTTCTGAGAAACAGAAGCATGGTCTCAGAGAAGTACTGGAATAAGGGAGAAAGCAATGCATGCTGCTTGAGTGGAAACTTCCTCCACTTCCTCCTCTATATAAAGCCATGTTTGCCTACTGAGACCCTCCTCACCTCAGAGACCTTCAGTTGTTATGTGCTGCATGTAGCCCTCTGTGGGCAGGAGGAGGAGGGGAGGCCCCCAGCACTTCTGCGCTTTGTCAGTCATGACCGGAGGAAGCTCTGGTCGTAGACTGGAACAAGACTGGCTCTGGGAGATGGCAGGGTACTGGGCCTTACAATGGGGTCTTCTCAGCTACAAACATTTTAATTTAGGATGGTGACAACTCAAAGCTAAGAAATTGGAGTTAGCATATTGTTGCCATCGTCTAACTGAGGGGAGTGAGGGTGCTAAGATGAACCAGCAGCTTGTGCAGTGGCAGGGAGTGCACTAACGGTTAGGTGAATGGTGTGTCCCATCCCATTGTCATCCTCGCCCCCCGGAAAGGTAGGCATTGGCTAATGGGGAATGTTTGTAAAGGTTTTAATGGTGTTGAGTGAGGAGACATCAGTCACATTCATCCCCAGCTTTACCACTTGTACTGCATCAGCTGGCCCAAACACATTGAACTAAAAAAACTCCACGTGTCATTTAGCAGCCTCTGTTCATCCAGTGTGAGGGGATTGCTGTATGTAATGAACACTACAGCTGGAGTCAGTTGAGGCATCAAAACTGATGCTACATTGCTTTTCTGTGATACCAAATTCAGAGGCATCTTGTGAAGAGAAGGATTTAGATCCCTCGCCACGTCTTTCAGCCATGCTGACACAGAAGAGCATGCTGTACCGAGATAGTGCTAACACAAACATTATCCTTTCTGAGGGCTTGATCCTATTTAGCTTTCGAAAGGGCAAGGAATGCTCTCTTTTGTATATTCCTTCATCTTGCTCCATGAGCAGAGGAGGGCTCATATTTTTCTGCTTCCCTTCCAGAGGAGCAGGATTTACCTCTGTTGCGCTCTTAAAAACATGGGCTCCATAGCAACAGTGTGAGTACCTTCTGCAAGCATCTTCCAGAGCTAATAGACAAATATCTTGTTAGATGAGCCGGACTGTTTTTTTCATGTCTGTTCAGCTGTTCAAAACCTTCGCCTTGATGTACTAAGGCATTTTAAAAATAAAAAGAAAAGTTCTATATGCACTATGGAGTACTGATACTGAGCTTACTACCAGGCGTGCCTGCTGACTTTATGCATAACAGCATTGTGGAGCAGGACTGCACAGGAATTCTTTCAAATGACTAGTCTGGAAATTGCATTTCTTTAAAAAGTACAGAACAGAAAAGAAAGGACAGGAAAAATGCTTGCTTTTCACTGAGAGAAGTACAAAGTTGTTAGAAAAGAATCAAATAGTTCAGCTGGAAGGGACCTTCAAAGATCATTTGGTCCAACTGCCCGATCACCTCAGGGCTAACTAAAAACATATTAATGAGAGTGCTGTCCACTTCTTGAACACTGACAGGCTTCGGGTATTAACTGCCTCTCTAGGAGATTGTTAGCTTCTACGTTCTGATCCCAAGCCACAATCATAGGTCATCTTGTTTTGTAACACATTGCTGAATTACTTGTTTTGACTTTACCCATGTAGAGGCACATCTGCATCACATTTCTGCCCTAAAAAATACTGCCTTGCAAAAAGTGCTGCCACTCTGTACTGTACACAAAAATATTTCTATAATGACAACAATCTACAGTCATAATATTTGGCTTTTCTCTTTAATAATTAGCTCAGATGAGATCACATTTTTGCATTATGTATCTTGAGTAATATCACTTGATATGTGCTTATGCTTAACACTCTCATTTTATGAATGGTAAAGAAGAAAATATTAGCTCAAGTGTTTATGTCATCAACCGAATTCTGTTCATGTTTGCATTTTATAAGAAACTGCATACCTTCAATTCAGGGGGAAAAAAAGGGAGGTGGATAGAAAGAGAGGACATGTCCCACACTGGTTTATTTGATAGTGTGTATTGCAGAGTCAGTAGCCAAATGGCTCTGGAGTGTGGAAGTGGAGGAAGTGAACTAATTGTGTTGGTCGGGTTATTCTAATGATTTTGATTAGAGCGGAGAGGACATGGTAGCATGAGCTAATGAGGATAAGGAGTTCAATTTATGCCTAGAGTATTGGAGATGCAAGCTCTCCCCAAATAATAATAACTTCTATGGGGGAAAATAAATAAATAAATGCTTTTTCTCTAAGACAAGTTGCATAATTAGAATAAACAAAATCATAGAATCATTTAGGTTGGAAAAGACCTCTAAGATCACCAAGTCCAAAAGTCCAACCGTTAAATCAGTTATAGTGACAAAAGCAGCCAGTCAGTTTACTTCTGCTTGTGAAACTTTAACCAGTATTTTTACTGTAAAAGTAATGTGCAAGGATTCTGCTAATCGGCATTACTAACCAGCTCCAGCAGAAACTCTCAGCCTACAGCACGTACCAGAGAGAGGCTCTGGTGCTAATTGTGCCTAGAGCTCTAAATGTCACATGAGGACACGAGCAGTGAAGGAAAAGCAGAAATACCATCGTGTGCTGTGTGAAAGAGGTGTTAATAACAACCACAGACATCTCATTATGCCTTACGCAAACATTTTTAGCCTCGCTTCCTGAACAGGTAGTTTAATGTGACTGTGCCATCTGTCTTCCAGCCCTCCACTTTAATATTTATTATTTGAACCTGTTTGCCCATTTTAGACACAGTGGAGAGAAAGGGTAGAGTGTCAAATACAGTGGCTTTATATGTGTTTTCTGAAAACAGGTGGTTAGCTGAAGAAAAGGTCTTAATTATTTCTTCTGCCTTAGTTAATGCAGAGGACTGGTCTGCCCCACTACTAGAGGTCATGGAGTACTTGTCAGTGTGACTGCTGCTCGCAGTTAATATTCACGATCTGGCTGTGCTTTGCCATGTCCGTGCCAGCTCTGTGGTGAAGTCCTACCTGCCAAGTCAGCATCCCGTCTGGCTGTCAGCAGGGGCTGGCTTGCGCTCCCCCAGGCTGTGAGCGCTGGCCGTTCTGCTGGGGGGGAAATGGGAGCTGGCTGGAGTGTGGTCTGGTATTATCTGCCCGGACTTCAGGTCATGTTTCTCAGATGCTGGTGGCTTTTAAATGCCCATCCTCTCACAGCTGGTTTTCTGCCTTTGTTTCTTAAGAGGTGCTAAGTACCCTGTGACTGCTTTCTGAACTGTCCTTGTCTTAGATGCCCAAGTTAGTGTATGTTTTTTTTCAGCACTAGTCCAAGAAGAAAGATATTTGTTTATCTATTTTTAAGAAAAGAGAATGACTGTGGAGATTTGTTGTTTTTTGTTTGTTTGTTTGTTTAAGAAGACCTCAGATGAGGGAATAATTACTTTTCCTATTGTATCCTGAGTGTGCATCTCTGGCATATTGTACAAACACAGTCTTTTTTCCTCTCCCTTCTCCAGGCTGTCAGCGCCCCATAGGCTTGTCCAATGGGAAGGCCAAGGTGTGCAGCTACAGTGGATGGTATTACTGCAGTACCTGCCATGTGGATGACAGCTTCCTCATCCCTGCACGGCTGGTTCATAACTGGGATACTTCCAAGTACAAGGTAATCTCCCTGATGGTTGGTTTGCTAGCAAGTGAGTGGAATTGCTGCTTAGATAGAAACGCAGGGTTAATGGCACTGTCTGCTAATACTGTCTGCTGTGTCCCTCTTGCCAGAGTGAGCCTGGCCTAATGAATCCATGTGCTGTCAACAAGATGGATGTTCTAATCCCAATTTCCTTAGCCACACCTAAGGCACTTCTCCACAGGAGAAGCTGTAATCCTCCTTTTGGTGGCATTTTTTCCATCCTTGCATATCTAGTTGTTATAGAGATAGAAGGACAGAACACTGAAACTTCTAACTTCTGCAATTATTTGTCCCTTGAACAATGATTGTTTCATGAGCAGTTGGGACCACGGATTGATGCCGTGTAGCGACGAATGCTAAAATTGTGAAAATGCCCATTGGAAACCAGCATAACCCAAACATGTTACTTGCAAAAGGCCAGTATGTCCCATCTTTTGGCACAAACATTTCCAGAACACGAGGAAATTGTTACAGCACGTGTTTGGGCCAGATAGTCAAAAATAACATAGAATAAAATTTCTATCATTGTTCACTTGCCACACAAGCAGTTTTGTAAAACTTCCGCGATCTGCTGTTGCTGCTACCTCAGTGGCTGGTTGCTACATAGTGGAAACGGATTACATGCCTTGAAGTGTTACGCCAACAAACATGGTAGCATTGTTGTTTTGCCATCACAGAGGGCATATGCTGAAGCAACAATGAACTCATAAGGAAACCAGATCATACTATAGCTTCAGACCTAGCAGACACTGTTAGCAGAAGCTGTTTGATGTTTTGTGTCTGCGAATATTATTATTATGGGTTATTTGAAAAGGAAAAAAATAACTGGTAAGTGCCCTATTAGAGGAAAAGCAGCTCTCTTGAGGAAGAAAATCTGTCAGAAGAGGAGATTATTAAAAGGTAGCCAGAGCCCGCCATCAGGAAAATGATAGTCTTGAGCCATGAAATGCAAGTTTTTTTAGAGTTACAAACCTCCTACATGTGGAGACAAAAAATGACTCCCTTTCCTAGAATTTCCTAGAAGCTAGGAATAAATATTTAAGGGTTCTTTCTTTGGATGGTTTTGCTAAGGACTAAGCTTGCTACTCCAGAGCAATACAGGTAGCCCTCATATGGAGCAAGTGGACGGTGAGATGAAGAGACTTTATATCAAGGTGTCAGTGATACTGCCAAGAAAATAAACTATTTTGGTTTCTAAGCCTGCAGGATAAAAAATGCTCTATGCTCTGTTTCCTGTGGTCTTAGATATAAGCAGCTGAGCGAAAAAATGAAACGGGACTTTTAAGCTTAAGCTTTAATTGAAAATCTAACCTACTGCAACTCTTGCAGTGAGAAATTAATTTTCACTTTTTGTTGACAGGCAGAACAGTTGTGAGGTGGCATCGGAACACACCAAATTCTGTGCCAGTCTCTCTGCCAAAGCACTGAGAGAGGTGGATTTAAGTAAGGAACACCATTGCTCAGTTTGAAAAACAGTTCAGCATCCCCGCCTATTAGAGTGGGAATTGAGACAGGGAGGGAAGGTCAAGGGGACATCATGTACCACAGTGGCAGTGTCGCAACTGAGCTGAGATCATCAGTTGGATCTCCTCAACTCTGTCCCATCCATGTATAGGACTAAAGTAACAAGTAGTTGTTGTTACTTTTATGAAATCTTTTCTTTTTTTTTTTTAAATAATTTTTTCCTTTTCTGTTCAATTCTGCATATGCGTGCTTTTACTTTGTCCTTGCCCTATGCCCGTGTCAACTGAGCAGTGCTTTTCTGAGGTAGACCATGTATTACCTGCACTTTTACATTCACATCTCCTTTTGCCATTCAGAGATAAGGTTTGATATTCATTTCTTCTGTATGGTCTAAAAAGCAATTTAGTGCTGGCTGCCACATTTAATATTGGTAATGAAACTGCCTTGATTCCTTAGCAGTGTATTGATTAAATGTGCTGATTTGGCAAAGACAGATAGATATCTTGTCCCACTTCCTCGAGGTGATCTTGGTAGTATTAATTTCCTTTCAGCTCGTTTTCAAAGGAAGGTCACTTAATTTATCAGCATTTCACCTCCTGTAATTGACCGATGTGCCCACATAAAACCATGCAGCAATGTCCCAAAACGAAGCTAAGCAACAGCGTTTCTCCTAAACACGCAGCCCTGTAGCTCTCAGGCAGTGCAGTGATGTCTGAAAGTGAAGCTGCTGCAGTGGGTGACTCTCTCTCTCTTGTAGCATATCCCAGAGAGGGCCTGCAGGAAGTGAATGCATTAAGCATGCACTGTGTTCGATAGTCAGAGCTGAAAGAGACCTCCAGTCTTGAAAAACTTGTGTATTTTGCACAGTCTAAGATGGACCTGTTGGTTCAGTAAATGGAAGGAAAGTAAATGAAGAGTTTGAAAAACTGCACTACTTCCCATGCCTTCCCACTGCTTTTTTCTTTCCCCTCTGCTGGGGTTGCTGGGGTCTGTCATATCTGTCTCAGGCAAAACAAGCACCACAGCACACAGGGACAAGGACTTTTATGGTGATATAATGTAATCAGGCATGTTTCTCTGCAGTGTTTTGTGAAGTCCTGCACACCTGAGTTGTATCTTGCATCAATTAAGCTTTGTAAATGGAGAGGCTCTTGTGTGCTTTTGGCAAGACAGGACATGAAAAAACAGAAGCAATAGAAATCTGTAGAGTTGTCTTATCATACTGTGTTGAAAAACAATGCACTTAACACCTGAAAGCATGTGGATAAGAAAAGAAAAATCCCCTTGGTTGCAATAAAAGCTCTTTGAAAGCACTTGGCAGTTAAACGTGGGTCTTCTGTCATAACCAAAGCAGCTGTTCACTCCCAAGTAGTTCTTTTTTTTTTCTTCTCCTGTCTCCCTACTGTTTTCCTATTTGTGTTTTTCATGTTTGTGTGAAGAAAAAAGAAAGGAGGTAATCTTTTGAACATCCATTCTTCCTTTTACTTATGCCAAGCTGTTTTCTCTGCTCACACACAAAACCAGCAAAAGTTCTGCACACACAAAAACACGAAAGTTCTGCAGTTTGGTTCAGGTAGATTCCAGCCTGTGTAAAATACCAGACAAACATAGCAGGAAATGAACTCCTGGTGCCAAAAGCTTCAAGGGAAGCTAACTCTGGTAAAATTGAGTTCTGAGCTGTAAATTCACAGCCTCTGGAAGAGAAAGGTCTGAAAACGGTAGCATCCATCCTTGTTTGACATTTAAAACTAAAACCCTCTTGCAGTTTGCATCTTCTCATTTGTGTTGGCATTTTTAGTAGTGTTGTCAGTCTGCCTAATAAAACTGAGGGAGTGTGAGGATGCTAATACACATACTAGTGTTACTGGCTGATAGCAACCTGCATTATTATGACTGCCTGATCAGTCCCATTATAAGATTGCATTTCAGCATCTTGGAACTTTTCTAGGTTTGGTAGCGTGAGTTAATGTTTTACATGAGCTATGTACCTGTATCAGGCCTGCAGAGTGAAGCCAACACCTATCTGTCAGCCAGTGATGCTGGGCAAAGCTGCTTTTCCTGTAATCAAACTCTGCAGGTACATTGTGTTGACAAGGAAAAAGGTTCACTTCTCTCCCCGTCCCTCAGGTTACTCAGCACCAGAGCTGAACAGTAACAGTTTGTCCTATGGGATTTCTGTTTGCCCAGTAAAAAGCACTTGGGGCTACACACTGAGTGATGGAGAGGAGCTGCTCTTTGTCCGGCCTCTGCACTAATATAAAGCAGAGCTCTTGTGAAGGGAAAAAAATTGTAGTGCATATGTACTGCAGAGTCACTCAGGTGTCTGCAGTTCTGGCTAGTTGTTTTTTTTTCAGTACACTGCAGCCTCAGGAGAATTCTCCTGTAGAGGGGTACAAGTGTGCACAGGCACGGATGTAGCACTGAGACAGGTAATCCCCTCTCGCTGCTTCCTGAGGCAGCAGGGCAGGTGCCTGAGGAGCCCATCTCTAAGACTACCCAGGCTATGCTGAGCACCTGCTCTTCCTGGTGGGAGGTGGTACTTGCTGTACCGAGCTTTCATGTGCCTCCTAGGGAATCACTGGATATGTAGTTTAATTTTTCTCATCAGGGAAAGATGAATAATATTTACTGTAGAAGCCATGGTTATCAGGAGATGGCTGAGATATAGCAGCCAAAGAGTTTTAATTATTATAAAAGCAGTTTGAAAGTAGTTGTTTGACTTGTGCACTTCAATTAGCATTTCTAATAAAACTTCAACATTGCCACTGTTCAAAAATGTGACATATTTGGAGTTTATAGGTTTTGGGTCTATAAAATTCAAGTTGCCTGTGCTACTCCTTATACAGCATGTCACCTGTGTGTCCATTCAAACTGCACAATTCCTTGTATGTGCATTGTTTTGGGAAAAGAAAAAGAAATGAGTGGAATGTTTTATAGGAAGGAGTGAGCAGTTTAATACAGCATCATGACCTGGGAAATCTGTGGTGTTATGGTCTGCTGTATTTAAAATTACACAGCTTATAATCTGTGTAGTTATTGGTGGTAAGTCAGTCCTTAACATTATTTATTGTATGTTAATTTATGTGTTGTGGAAAGGTTACATGTAGGGCTAGCTTCCCCTGTGACCCATGCTGTTACTGGAAGTGGTGCTATTTATAAGGATGCATATTGCTTTTGCCTACTTCCTACCTTACACCACCAGAAAGGAAATGACATCCTACATCTCAAGAGGCTATGATGTGCCCTTTCTCTCTTTGTTAGCTTCAGTAAAAAGCAGTAAAGTTAACCCAGTTAATCTTGCCCTCAACTCAGTGTAAATACTTGCTTACAGGTCCAGCAGGACTAACTGAATTGTGGAACACACAGTATTTCTATAGCATGGTTTCAAGTGATTTACAGCTCATTTCAGATAATCCCACCATCTCTTTTCCAGCTGTGATGAAATGCAGAAATTAGGAATGAGAGGGAATTTGGTCATCTCACCTCAGAAAATAGGAACATCTTTTCTAGTGGGAATAAGAGTCCCACTAGTTTATCAGGATTACGGTAGCTCTTTGCAGGTAGAGAAAGAACAGAGCACTGTGATGAAAATGGCATAAGAAGAATTTCTTGCAGATGAAACATTGCAAATGAGGAATGCCAGTAAAACCCAACTGTATTTATCTGTATTTAAAAACAAACAAACAAACAAATAAAACCTTGATATATAGATGTGTTTCTGATTATTTTCTTTTTACATTATTTCATTATTTTAACCATATTGGCTGAGCATGAAAAAATGGGTATAGAACTTTGTACTGGAATTCTGTATCCTGTGACAGCACAGTGACTGGATTTGCAGTATACCTGTTTCCTTTTCCAGTGTTGTGCCTTGGCACTTACTCAATCACTTGTTTCTTGCCAAAAAGAAAGCAGCACACAAACGCAAAAATATTAACAGGGAAGAAACTTGATGATTACAGTTTTTAGACATAGAAAAATAAAATCTGGTAAGTATGTTACTCTGAAGTGAAAATATGTGGCTGCAAATATCACTGTACTTCGGGTAAGTAATCAATTATCTCATGCACTCAACTTTGATGGGCTTGATGAAGTTTGAATTGGCTATGAGCAGGGACAGTTGGCTTTCTTTCAGTTCTGTTTTCATCTGCAGTTGGTAATGGAGTAAGATTGCAAATGCAGAAAGTGGATGATGAATCACAGAAGGGAAGATCCGCTTAAAAAGATTTGGGAGGAGTGCCCATCTAAATTGGTTGTTTTGTTTTTCAGGTATCAAAGCAAGCCAAAGAGTTCTTGGAATATGTGTATGAGGAGCCATTGATTGATATTCAGCAGGAAAATCCCATGTTGTATAAGCACGCTGAACCTCTGGCAACCATTGTCCGCCTGAGACAGCAGCTAAAATCTCTGCGAGCCTATTTGTTCAGCTGCAGAGCAGCAGTGGCTGAAGATTTGCGTAGAAGGTAAGAACCGCAGAACCATAGACAACATGCAGTACAAGAATGTAGTGTCCTTGTCACTCTTTTTTTTTTATTCTCAATATCTAGTCCTTAAGACATTACCCATTTAGAAAGACGTTGTGCATGTATGGCTTGTATTGGACTTCCCTGGGCAGCTGAAAATATCCACTGCCAAAAAAAAAATGGTTCTAGTAGATTTTATAGGGCCTATACAGTTGTTCTTGACCACCGTTACCTCAGAGGCCATACATTGTGGAGAGTATCTTTTACTGCTGCTTAGGTTTCTTGACTGTGCCTGAGTATTTTTAGTCAGATATGATACCTCATGCTCCTTGCCACAACATCTGGCTTCCAAGTACTCACAGTATAGTAGCTGCTGTCAGCACCTTTGAACTAGCTCACAGTATGTCAAAGCATGAGAGAGGCTGGGATCAAACAGCTTTTCAGCAATTCTGCTCTTCTCTGTGATAATATGTCACAGAAACGTAGAGGGTGACGGAGTCCCCTAGCGAGTAACCCAACTTGTGAATTACGTGGTACTAGAGCAGTCATGTTCTTGCCCAGCCATCATCTTTTCCATCCATTGCATGGCTGTGCTAAGTGGGTTTTTTATTGGAAAATACACAGTCACAACACAACAGAAGGTGTTTCCTATTGAGTTACAAGTTTTCCTCAGTGGAAGCAGAGTTTCATAAAAAGTGCACTTCATTTTGGAAGCCTGTTCAGCTGCTGCAGCATTCCTCTAACAAGATAAAAATGAACAATCTTCTTAAGACCATCAAGCCACGACTCTGACCTTAAAAAAAGTCAAGTTACTTTTGCATAGTTCTGCTGAAGAGTTGGGGAGATAGCGCTGCCTATGCAATGCTGTGAGGTGAGTGTTTCCACGTGCATGCATTTGACTCAGTCGTTAATGCATCTGTAAGCTTTTGTAAGACAAGTCCACAAACGGGAAAGCCTGTGTTTTGGAATTATGAGCTGCCAAAGGACAAGAAAGCAGGTGGCATCAGTGACTGTGTTTTGAACATGATGTTTAGGGTTGGGGAACCTGAATTCTCTGAGAGGAACAGGAGACTGAACTATTATCCCAGGTAAGGAGTGAGGTGAAGTCTGCTATTCAGCGGATAACCTGTGTCATTGCTTTGAGTAACTACCTCAAAAACAACAAAGAGGAGGATGTAGCAGCAGGTTTCTGGAGAGAGCACTACTGAGTTCTTGTATCAGACCCGCTGGGTTGTCAGTATATGTTTGTGTGTCTTACTGCTCAGTTCCTATTACTCGACAGGGCAGCTAGCAGCATTTTAAAAATTAGGATGCTTTTTCTGTTACTGAAGAAAATAGTATTATCATGCAGAGCTGTCTTGCTCTTCAGCTATAATAATTTATCCTATGCCATCCTCTTTGACTGCAATAAAACTAAAAGGAGAACAAGATTTGTGAATGCTGCTGGTCAGGAAAAGTGGCAGAAAAAGAATTAAGTCTTCTGATTAAGGCTGAAGAAAAGAATGCCCTGATTAAAATAGACAGGAGGAGGCAGAAGAGACTGAAGGGACTTCGGTATGAGAATGAAAGAAAAAAGATCAAAGGAGGTCTAAACAGAGAAATCAATGAACTAGAGACAAAGGGATGACAGAAAGCCAGAAGAAGGAGGAGACTTGAAGAGCTAGAGCTGAGGGAAGGAGATGATAGGGAAGGGATATCAAGAAATGAAGACTTAATAAAGAAACCAAGACAAAGAAGGAGCCCAGAAATTACCCTCCAAAAAGGAGAGATGACAAATGCTCAGGAAATGGACAGAAGAGAGAACAGACAAAAATTAGCAGAGAAATCTGCATGTGATTTTTTTCTTGAAGTGGTAGACTTGGTGGAGAGAGAGAGAAAAATCATTAAAATATTATGGTAAGCATTTAACACCACCTCTGCTTAGGAAAAAAAGAGAGAAGTAGTATCAGTGTGTGCAAATATCGTAGAATCAATGGTTCGGGTTGAAAGGGACCCTAAAGATCATTTAGTTCCAACCCCCCTGCCATGGGCAGGGATGCCACACACTAGGGGATCATCTAACCTGGTCTTGAACACCTCCAGGGATGGGGCATCCACAACATCTCTGGGCAACCTGTTCCAGTGCCTCACCACCCTCTGAGTGAAAATCATAGAATATCCTAAGTTGGAAGGGACCAACAAGGTTCATCAAGTCCAATTCTTCCTCCTGTTTGGTGGCTGTAGCTGGGTGGTTGCATTTACTGATGTGTTGGCTGGGTGCTACTGGAGGCTTGCTCTCTGTATCAGAAACAAACACCCAAAATGCCAGGAGGGGAGATGAAGCAAGATGATTCTTCCTTTTCTTATCTAAAGGTTCCTTTGCTCTGTCTCAAATTAAAACTCTGTGGTAGAGAGAAGGACCCCAGCTCTAGAAGGGTGAGAATGTTGAGGCATTGATTTTGTGCAAGGAAAGCATCTTCACATTGGTTGAACTTGTTAAAAGTGCTGTAAAAGGCAATGAAGGAATGTTTTAAAAGCACAAAATGCACCTTAGAGTCCAGCTCATTCTCAGTACTGTAAATTCTATGGGAGTGAGTTTTGGTGCTCAGTTGATTCCCCGAATCTCCTGAAAGAGGTTTGCAGAGATGGAAGAGAAGAAAAGGCCTTTTCTAAGAAGCAATTATTCCTTGCTCTAGACTGATCCCAATGGCTTCTCTTTATATGTGTAGTATCACAGCATGCAGACCCTCACTATAAATGTAATGGCCTTACAGAGCACAACTGACAAATGAAGAAAATAAAGGACCTAAAATTCCCTTCGGTTCTCACATGGACAAGTTGCAAGAGAAGGAGGAGTTTAGAAACAATATGGTGAGACAGCATTCCTAAATTTAGTACTGTTTCCGAGTTAGAAATGAAAGGCGGGGGAAGAGAATGCAGTTATCTGTCCAGCTCTAAAAACATTCTTTTTCTGCTTGGTCTTCACCTTAGTATGTGAATGACTATTAATCACAAGCAAGTGAACATAGCATCTTGAAGACCTGTCAGACCCATATAAACAGACTGAAACAAACTGTTAATATTGCTGTCTAGGGAGAACTAAAAACAGACTGATTAATTGTATTGGCACCTTGCTGCCTTTGGGACACTGATAGAGCCTGCCTTATTTGGGAAAAGCAGATCACTCTGAGGTTTCTTTTATTAATACTATTTGCATTATCATCATCTTTAAATCTATACCTTGCTCTTGAACCCAGATCACAAAACGAAGATGGCAATGAAGTTGGAAACTCTTGGTGTCCTCTGGGAAGACAAAACTGTTTACAGTGCTTACAAGTCCCTTTTTCTGAAGAATTCCAGATGGCTATAAACCAGGTTAGCTCAGGATCCAGTTGGTTTAAATGTGGAAATGTTATTTATAATGCCTGGTGTGCACAGATAGGTACTTTGGGAACTTCATGAAACTTGGCATCTAGCAGGGAACTTGGGGCTGAACCACAGTGTGAACTTCAAAGAAGCAAGTGACTAGAAAGAAAGGAAGAAAAAGGAAGGAAGAAAAGAAAAGAAGTGAAAGAAATCCTAAAAGTAGCTAGAAGGCTTACAATAAAAGTGGTCTTCATCAGTTATAATGATTAGTTTTCACCTACTGCTCCACTGGATTCTAAACTCTTCGTATTTACAAAAAATAAAGGTGGCTGAGAAGAAAAACAAGGCCCTCCACTGGTGCATATCGGCAGCATTTTACAGAGATTGGCCAGTTAAGACTGAGCCTGTTGGTGAGCACCCTGTTTTACAAGGGATGTTGTTATGCCTAGTTTGCTGTGGCTGTCACTTCAACGTTGCAACAGATGTAATTTGCCTCGAATGTCTTTACTCGACAAGTTCTCTCTTGTTCTGGTTGTCTTGCTTATGTGGATGCTGTTCAGACTGAAGCATACAAGACCGAAACCTAGAGCCAACATAGAATTAATACAAGTGGAGCTGTGCAAATCCCAGCTCAGCCTGCTGATTGAAGACTAATGACTGAATAGCACAAGGAACCAAGATTGAGTCATTAAAATTGGTAGCTAGGAAAGGAAGCAAGAATCACTAAGTCCACTAAATGATTGATTAGGTTATTCCATGAAGCTGTGAAGAATGGTGCAAGTCTTACTCTGGTTTTGCTCTCTCCCTTTAGTCTCAAGGCATGAGACACACTAACAATGTGTTCCTATGCCGTAGTCTGTCTTCATCTGTTCTTGCCATGGTTGAAGGCTTTTCAGGTCAAAGTAGTGCCAGAGTGTTTTTTTGAGGAAACATTCAAGGTATTTCCATGTCTACTGTGGTGTAGGGTAACTTAGGTTAACCTTGGAGCTCTGTTGGGGCTCTCTGCTCTCTCAGTTACTGACCTAAACTTGCAGTTTAAGTGTTGCTAGCCCAGGTATTACAGACAGATAGCAGTGGCATGAGGTAAGATACTCTGCAACAGATTCCCCTGTACATAAGCGCTCATCACAGTGCCCTTTCTCTGTAAGCAGACATTCTGTACAGTGATGAGAAACTTCCCATAGACGTTACTTGTTGGCTCCTGTCATCTCCAGAACAGCAATGTGTTGGTCCTGCCTAGCAGGACTCCAGTGCTGGATGCATTTCTTAGTGTGTTAAAAAAAGACCAAATTAGAGCTTTCTGTTGCAGGAGGAAGTTAAAGGTACACTTTTAGTGCTGCAGACGTGTGGTCCTGGCTGAGCCAGCTGGTCTGTCAGAACAAAGCAGAACAAGCCCAAATTCAGTTATGCTGAACAATAGAGTCCTGTCACTTCCTACAGTGTGGCCTTAGACATATCACTTCTGACACAGGGGTAGATTACTTTCAAAATATTTGTGTGGCAATTGGGGAACCTGTCTAAACACATCACAGGATTCCCGATTGATCTTATGCAATCACTATACCACCAAATACCTCACATATGTGAAGCTGGGGCTATGGCAGGTCATCTTTCAGGCCAAGGACAACAGAAGGTCATTAAGTCATATTCAGACT